GCTTTCCTTATGCTGACAGGGTAATGCTCCTTTAAAGCGTTTAGAAATTCGAAATTGGACATCGAGGGTTCTAAGTATTTGGCCTTGACAGCGTATTTCAGCAAGTGATCGCCGTAACTCAACCCCCCTCGCGGATCATACCGGTCTTGGTATATTTCTAATCTAACCTTGGCTTGACACTGTGGGCTCCAGAATTTGCCTAGGAAAGCATCCTGAAAGTCATCGAACGTTTCCAGTTGATCCCATATAGCGTCAGCCCATGTGGTGACTGAAATGCCGTTCATAGAGCGTCTCGCTACTGCTAAGTGAAGCGGTGGAGGGACATTCTTAATTTGTATAAATTCTATCAAGGCATTTAAATGGGCTTTGGCATTCTGCTCCGGTCGTCCTGCGAAAATTGGCAAAGCTAGATCGAGGGAGTTGTTCAGAGTCCCTTTGACAAATCCCCAGTTATTATCGTTGCCTGTCATTTCCTTACTGAGGGAGTAACTTGGCTGGCCTCCTCCTAGACCTACTCCAGTTACATACCTAACTTGCGGCCCACAGTTTGAGTGGCCGTTGACATTACTGGTATTTATACAAGCAGTCGCTGAGGCATGTCCACTCGAGAGGTCTGTTCGACAGCTATCAGGCATGACGTCACTAGTGTTAGCATCTTTACCTTTACTACACTCCTGATTCGAGTTCTTTAAGAGTTCAAGCTGGCCACTTAATTCGTCACACCCGTTGGTTACTCTATAATTAACCTTCTCAATTTCCAAACTTACTTTAATCTGCTGCTGTTCCGTCATGACCCTCAAATCTGTCACTCTGGTCTCGAACGTGGACATCCTCTCACACATATCATGCGACTGTACTTCTATTTGTGCTTGAACTGCTGTCACGTCATTGTGCAGAGACTCGATGTTACTGTTGCTCTCAGATTTATTCTGTCTCACCACTTCGGTCAGCGCTTGAATCTGGCCGTGTGAGCGCTCAGATACGGCTTTAAGTTCGTTTTTCACGGACTGTATTTTGTTGTTCATTTTACGTTCCGAGTCTCTTGCCAATGCAGCCAGCATTTCACGCACGTCCTCTTTTATATTGTTTTCCATTTTTGTCATTCTCTCCTCAAATTTCCTTTCCATTTTCATCATTCTCTCTTCAAATTTTTCCATATAGGTTAATATGGCCTGCATGTCTATTGTACTATCCTTCCCCTCCTTTCTATACATTTCGTCTGTTTATTCTGGGTCAGTAAATTAGCTCCTTCCTCCATTTCTCCCCCATTCTCTGTATCGTTGATCCCTTCCATTACTTCAATCTCTTGTTTATAATATTGATGACTCTAACTAACCTTGCATATCTGTATCTTTCATTTTCTTGTCTTCAGATTTCTTCCTTTCCTCCGCTGTTTCCATGATGTCCCGCTCGCAGACTCCTGGTCTCTGCTGTTACATGCCCCAGGTTGGTTGGAAGCGCCAATTCTACTGTAGCCGTCCGCCGACTTACAGCTGCCACGACTGTCGCTCGAGCTTGAGTTCTTAATCACAGGATACGGGTGCTTTGGAGATGGGAGTGGAACACACTTCGGGGTAAATAAATCCGTGATCTCCGGAACACACCGTGGATTGCAGTTTTAATCTCAAATTTCATTAATGCTGAATATTTACATTAATCTCCTAGCTAGCTGCTCCGTCCGCCGACTAGCTACCACTGCTCTTAAACACTTCTCTCTTCTCTCTCTACCATTCAACTACTGTCCTCCTCCGCTCCCTGTCACCGACTCCCCCTCTTTACAAGTCCCCCAGTTGGCATCAGAAAAACAAGAAAATAAAAAGGGAAAACCAAGGGTCGAGCCCAACATCTGCCCTACATTCGTATTTTTCGAGATGCCCATGAACCTCTGTAGGTCTTCAAGTAATCCAAGACCCCTCCTGGCCCGGCTCGCACACGGTCAGTTCATGGGTTTATGATATACTGGGAGCAAACAGGCGGCGTTAGGGACAACAGCGGCACCCTTAGCCTAAGGAGGACAATAGCGGAATTATAACTAGACGGTCCGGGGATGGTACCTCGCCGATGGAGCGACTCTCACGGTATTAAACAATGCATAAATAGTTCATACCCTTAATTATATAATTTTGACGAGGGACGTACGGTTACACTGTGGAACTGCAAATCCAACACAACTTAAAACTAATTAATATAACCTTAACTGATTACAAAATTCTGATATATTGAAGAAATATAAAAGTATCTGAAAAAATATGTACCAGCTTTGCCAGTATAGCTACAGATATCTCTTGGTAGAAAGTGTAAATACTCAAAATACTGTGTGATAAAAAAACAGTGTTACCAAATTGTAAAGATAATCCTTCGTATAAAAGTGTATGAGATTATAACATCTCATATGTGAATCAGATGGAAACTCTGGCCTGTAGTCTGCAAGCAAACTATACCGACCGAGCGACCACTGCATGTTGGCAAAGTTATGCCAATTTTTGCGGATAGAGGGTGTCATGTGGCCACTGCAACAGATCCTGACAGCCATTAATCTCGGTTTTCTAGACTGGAGCTGCTATTTCCTTGAAACAGCTCCTCAATTATCATCATGAGGCTGAGTGGACCCATTCCAGACCCACTACTTCTCAGAAAATCTGAGAATCGGACCTGTGACCTCTGGATCTGTAGGCAAGAACTAAGACCACTAGACCACAGAGGCAGTCAGCCTTTCCTTAAAAGCAATCAGAAATCACACCAGTTTGTGCTGGCCCAAAAGTCACAAGTTTGCTAGCATTCCTCCACCATCAAACTAAGAGTTATTCCATCATAACTGTTTCTCAGGATCATTTGTTCATCTGAATAGGAGAGGCCGTTGCACCTTCTGTACCCTTTATACCAAAAGCATTTGCCAGATGGACATTATGTGGGAGCAATAACAGAATCATTACAAATTTCAGAAATTACTAAGTGTATGCAATACTATGGAACAGGGCTTTTTAACCAAGGGTGCATAGCACAAGTGCAAGGGGTGTCACTGTGCTCATCTAAGGTAGTGTATGTTAAGACCATAAGAGAGGGACAAAGGTATGATTTGTGATAACTAAAATTCCCTCTAACCTATCATTTTCCTTGTTATACAGTGCGTACAATCAAGTGCGCGCCGCGGCTGCAATTTGCCGTGAGTCATACCACCGCAGAACGGATGCAACTCCTCCCTGCGACTGCAGTGCTCCTACGCCGATGGTTGCATAATCGGAACCCGAGGTTGCATTAAACAGTCAGTCTTTGTCTTGCTGTGGAAGTGGAGTGGAATGTTTACAGCTGTCGACAGACGGTGGAAATGAAGTTCACTATTAAACAGCGTGTGTTTATTGTCGAAACTATTGCAAGGAAAAACATTTACAGAAAATTCGCACGTAGGTTTCGTCAGAAATATCCTGACTCGCCAGTTCCCACAAAGTCGTGTGTAAACAGGCTTCTGAAAAAGTGGCGGGCCACAGGTTCAGTGAGTGACAAGAAGAAGCAATCGAAGAGAACTGTGCTGACTGAAGAAAAGGTTAAGGATATTCAGGCAAGATTACAGATCAGTCCTCGAAAATCGTTAAGACGCTTAGCACAGGAAACTGGTGTTTCGCTAG